TTGGTTTGCCTTAAAGCATTCAACAACAAGACTGATTGCTGTATATTTGCACCACTACAAAAAGTAATATGGCCATTTTACAGAGTTCTTTTATCAGTTTTAATCACAACAAGATTTGCTGAGAGATAAAGACTCTTCTAAGGTCACCTAACAAATCCCATGACCAAATAGGGATTTGAACTTGGCTCTCCCTGTTCCAAGTCCAGTACTCTAACCAGTTGACTATACTACACCACAGACATCAGACGAGCCACAAGAACAAGCCACAAGAGTAAAGGTAAAGATCCACCCAGAAGTAGTTATCATTGTTTACTTCTGGAAAAAAAGACCTTCTTGATTGGTAAAGAGACTACTTTCCATATTCACGCTATCTTGCCAAGCTGTCTCTTTTTTTCTCATTAAGGCATAAACATTTAATGTTTCTTTTAGAAATGCTCACCAGGCTTGGTCCAGATTCTTTTATGCAAGTATATTATTCCATCCCCTTTGGTCCTTGACATTCAGACCCTCTTCTAGTTCATTCTTTGTTTCCCTTTCATTAAATCTTCCCTGACCTGCTCTGTATATTATTGCTCTGGGACCAGACACAATGCTTCCTTCACTTGCATGTGTTCAGCTGTGAAATTGGACATATACCAAACCAGGGTTGTTTATTCTTTAAGTAAGGTTGGCATATATCGCTGACTCTTCTAACTGAACTGATGCAAAAGAATTAGGTTGTCTACCCCACAACAGCTAGCCAATAGTTATATATGCCAGCTCTGTGGCTTAGAAATGGAGATGAGCACCACTCCACACCCCAGATGAGCACCACTCCACACCCCAGAGTCAGACACGATTAGACTTAACATCAGACTTTACCTTATTATTTATTTATTTGTTTGTTTATTTTTGTCTAGTGTTGATATGTATTCCACAATTCTTGAAACCCTAACCTTGGACTCAGGCTGACTACTCTACATGATTCCTGAAGTCATGGACTGGCTGGGGACACTGTTTGGCTTTCAGGTTTTTGGAGTGGCTTCAACTTCTCTTTAGTGTGTTCACTTCCAGGAAAGTGTATCTCCTGCACCTCTATTATTTACTTCACTTGTATACTGCTCTTCTCAGCCCTCAGGCGACTCAGAGCGGTTAACAACCAGTATCAACAACACAATACAAAATCATTAGTCATTTAAAACAGTAATATCAATTAATTAACATCAAAACATCAATACAACAATACAGCAAAATAACAATCCATCATGTCTCATCAATAGAATCAGCATCCGATCTCGTTGTCCATTAATCCATATTCCAGTAATCAATCAATTGCACTGCTTGTTCGAAGGGCCAGGTCTTCACTCTCTTCCGGAATGCCACAGCCGAGGGGCCACCACTGAGAAGGCCCTGGCTTGTGAACCCGGCGGGACCAAGAGCAGGGCCTCCCCAGACGATCTTAACGTCCTAACTGGTTCTAACTTGATTTACTGCCCTGTTTTATCTGCAAGCAGGAGTGGCTCAACCCATTACGCAACGTAAGCATTTGCAGTATAGTTGATTTTGCCCAGGGGCGCTCTTGAGGTGCTCTTGGGGGAAAATAGACCTTGACATATGTGAGTTGTAGTTACTTGGATGTATAGTTCACCTACAATCAAAGAGCATTCTGAACTCCACCAATGATGGAATTGAACCAAATATGGCACACAGAACTCCCACAGAAAATATATATCATATCAATGATTGGTTGGGGGGGGGGGGGTGGCAATATACTGTTTGCTTACTGTTGAAAATTACCTCGGGCCGCCTCTGTCTGCAAGTGCTTCCTCCAAGACCAGGGGAGCACCATTCCTGATTCAGGACATGCTGCTCCTCTGTAATTGCATTTCAGTTGATGCTATTGTGTTTTCTGCATCTGCCTCATATCCTGCTGTGCACTGATACAAAAGAAAAGGTAGAGGAAAGAATGTGAGCTGTGCTTGTGTTGTTGTGAACATAAGGAAGATTTTATTGTCCTGGGGGGCATCTGAATCTTTGACGGAAGAATAAAATACTTTTGCACGGATTACCATTTCCCAGGAAAAGTGCCATAGCTACATGGGGCCAGATCCCCAAAAGGTGAACACTAGGGTATTTGCCTGTGGGATCCTCTTACTAGTGGGCACATTTAAACCAGTACAGTCTCAGAATTTAGAATTAAGCCTCACCTGCTTAGTCTAGTCAAAGATCAACCATCACTGCTGAATATAAAGCAAATATTGGACCATTATCGTTATTGTTTCAGGGATATACCTCACCAGCGAAGAAATGCTAGCAGGAGACTAGATGAGCTACCTAATGCTTTCTGTGTCCCATTATACACTGTGCGATTCTAATAATCTCTTTCCCTGCACAAAGATTAGCCTGTCTGGGCGAGTGAAATATCGTCCATGTAAAATTAAAAGCAAATCTTCAATTCCACCAGGTAGCAAGCTCTTGTGTAAACACCTGTGTCTCTGAAGCCCTGCTAGACGGGAAAAGGGTAAAGATGAGAGCAGAATGCAGACCAATGTTTTGTTCAAATACATAAAAGAGTTATGAATATTTTATGGAGATTCCAGGAAAATATTTTGCAAAGGCTGCTGTGCAGACTCACTGAGTATCCAAAGTTGTTAGATATTACAGTTTTCTCATGCTATCCCTCAAATTGTTGGCACCATTAGCATCATTCCATCAAATATAATATCGGGTGACTGATGAAGAGCCCACAGGGACAAGAAGTGGAGAACGTGGTAGAATTTTTGTTTTGGATAAATAAATGTGCTGCACCGATATTGCATGATTTAGATTGACAAATATGAACAGCATCTGGTTCAGCAGTTAAGAGATCATAAACTGGAGTTACAATCTTGTAGTTGCTGGGGATTCATTTCATAGAATCATAGAATCAAAGAGTTGGAAGAGACCTCATGGGCCATCCAGTCCAACCCCCTGCCAAGATGGTCATCAAAAATCAGCTCCACAAAAAACTTACCCCACTCCAACCAAGGATTTGTGATTGTGAAGCACTGCAGATCAGGGTGCTCAGAAATTGTGTCTATAGTACTTTCCTGGTCCCAGGGCTCATTGAGAAAGGTAGTCTCTGCAAGACCCCAAGAGATCTTTCCAGCTGCCTGTTCTTTATATTTTATTTATTTATTTATTTACAGTATTTATATTCTGCCCTTCTCACCCCGAAGGGTGGATTACAATGCACATATACATGGCAAGCATTCAATGCCATTAGACGTACAACACATATATAGACGTACCATTAGACATACAACACTTCCCAGTGAAGGATCCCCAGGCAGCAACCAGCCATGCTTTGAAGCTGCAAGGCCAATAAATGCCAATCAAGGTGGTCAATTGCAACATTCACACTTGCCTCAAGCAGACAAAAGTTATTTCTCCCATTCTAGACATTCCACAGATATATAAACTTCACTTGCCTAGTTTCCAACAGACCTCACAACCCCTGAGGATGCTTGCCATAGTTGTGGGCAAAAGGTCAGGAGACAATGCTTCTGGAACATGGCCATGCAGCCCAGAAAACTCACAGCAACCCAGAGAAATAGATCTTTGTCAACATTCTTGTATAACTTGTTCAGATACACCATTTCAGACTTTTCCTGTTTGGAGTCTGGGGAATGTTTTTCTTCAATTTTAAAAGGCATTTGTAAAACACTTTTGAGGTTTCTTTACTTATTTTGTTATTTATTTAGAGTATTTATTATACCCCACTCCTCAGCCACAAAGGCTCTTAGAGTACCTTACAAATTGTTTATATGACAGTTCCCTGCCCTGAGGCTTACAATCTAAATAAGACATGACATACTACGAAAGTCAGGCAACTTGAGGGCACATGCACACACTTGGAAGTTTAACAAAACAATTTACTTACACATACACAAAGTTTTAAGTTCCTGGTGCATTCAAGTTAAGCATGTACAAAGCAGTTTGAGATATCTTGTCACATTCTGCTGATATGACAACAGCTACAACACCGGAAGAACATGCGAGGCATATACCTGATTTGGATAGAGTGCTCATTATTTATTGCTGCTATTTGTATGCACACAGTAGCCTTTTGTTGCTCAATTGCAGCCACATAATGTTTGTGTAAGAATTCTATATTAAGTTGGTTTAATTGCTTATTTGGAGTGGAACCTGGGCTACTAAGCCAGAGTCTACCTGTCATTATGAGTTCAGTTTACTATCAAACTCAATTCATGAACTTTAACGGGTTTATAAAAAGCCCTTTGGTGGAATCCAACCCTGCTGCAAAGGGAACCATACTATAGCTATAGGAATATATATCATCTTTTGGCTTTTATTGCTAGGAGCCATGTATCTGGAGACACGAAAAGAAAATGTGGAATTGTGTAAAGTTGTGAGTTCAGTTCTCCTTTAGTACACAGCTAAAAATAAGGAAAGTAATGAGCCTCTCCAAACTGGAAAAAATTATACATCACAAGCCTTCAAAGCATATTATTGTCAACCCCTTTCCTATCCTAAATATATTCACATTTTTCATTTCCATCAAACACTGATTTCCCAGTGACCAAAATGACTCCCACTCAAATATAAATATCTGAACATTTGATTTGTATCCACTCTCTGTTGCCGTTATTGCACTATAAAAAGGAAATAAAAATCTCTGAATGGCGTTATCAAAACACGTAGGTGGCTTGAATATTAAGTTGGTTCCATTGCCAAATTGCATTTGCCCTTCTCAGCTCTCTTGAAATAGAAACTATAACAGCCTTGGAAACAAGGAATTCACAACAAGCTACTCAATGCCAAAATAAAGGCAAACCCAAAGATAGTTTACCTTTGTCTGAACCAACATCCATCAAATCTCCAATGCTTTCTGATCTATTATTTAATTACAGAGGCAGCATAACCCTGCGTATAATCACCGTATCATCTCCCAGAACTTCAGGAACATCCCTTTATCATTTGAAGATGAAATTTTGAAATGGAAAGAAGATTCCACTTACCCGTTTGTAGTCAAACAAGGACTTCTCATTGGTCAAAGAATTGAAAGGAGTAGTCTGGAAAAAAAAGTATAAGAAAGACCTTTTACAGGGGATTGTATGATCCTTTTAAAATCCAAGCATTATGATGATAGAGAATAACCATAAATGAACATAGGAAGCAGCCTCACATGAATCAGTTAAGGCCTTTGCAGGAACAATCTGTCCCTTTGTCAGCTTCTTGCTGGGTGAAGAAGAAGTGGAGGAAAGAGAAGGACATGTCAGAGAGAGTAAAAAAGATGGGATCACCCAATTTTCCATTGAGAGAGCTTGGAAGCCTTTTGAATTTGGATCTCCTTAGTCTTACTCCAAAAAAACCCCAACCCAGATGCATTAGAATACAACTTGTAACATATCCAGCCAGTTTGGTCCTCCTATTCCGATCATATCACACTGGTTGCCAGATTTCTTAAGAGCAAATAATCAGAATGTGTGTAACATAACCTGGGATGACTCTCAACTCTACTACTCCTTTCCACCAAGCCCCCCGGAACCTGGACCAGTGCCTGGACTCTTAACAAGCTGAAGCTTAATCAAGACAACACAGAGGTCCTCCTGGTCAGTTTTGTGGCCAATTGGGGTATTGGGTGGCAACATGTGCTCGATGGGGTTACACTCCCCCTGAGGACACAGGTCTGCTGTCTAGGGGTCCTCCTAGACTCTGCATTGATGCTTGAGGATCAAAAGTCAGTGGTGGCTGGAAGGGCCTTTGCACAGTTAAAGCTTGTGCGCCAGCTGCAACCATACCTCAAGAAGTCTGATTTGGCCATGGTAGTCCATGCCTTAGTTACCTCCAGATTGGATTACTGCAATGCACTCTATGTGGGGCTGCCTTTGAAGACGGGCTGGAAATTGCAATTGGTACAAAAGGTCGGTGGCCAGGTTGCTAACTGAAGTGTATTATAGGGAGTGGACAACCCCTGTTAAAACAGCTCCATTGGCTGCCATATATGTTTCCGGTCCCAATTCAAGCTGCAGGTTACCATCTACAAAGCCCTAAATGGTTTGGGTCCTGCCTATCTTTGCAATTGCATCTTCCCCTATGAACCTGCTTGAGCTTTAAGATCTGCTGGGGAGGCCCTTCTCTCACTCTCACCTCCGTCACAAGCACAGTTGGTGGGGACAAGGGAGAGGGCCTTCTCAGTGGTGGCCCACAGCTCTGGAACTCTCTCCCCAGGAGATTAGATTAGCACCCACCCTGTCCACTTTCCTTAAAGACCTAAAAACTTGGATGTTCCAATGTGCCTTTGATTAATCAGTTCACTAGTTGATTTGGCCCTTACAGCCCTAACTTAACATTTGGCTCTTGCACTTTACTATCAGCGCTGTCCTTGCAGTTGTATTGCACAGGCCTTGCCTTGCCCTTTCAGTTCTGAACATGCCTGCTGTTCACAGCTACTGGTTGTTGATTGTTGATGGTTTGTATATGTATTTTATTGTGTTATATTTTAATCTCTGTTTGACTAGGCTTCGCTGCCTTTATTCCCTTCAGGGAGATGGTGGTGGGATACAAGAATAAAGTAGTAGTAGTAGTAGTAGTAGTAGTTGTTATTATTATTATTATTATGAAGATATGCATGCCACAACCACTCCCAATTTGAGTGAACTGAAGACATTGAATTAATATGTGTTGAAGTGCTTTGATTGCTGGACTACAACTCTGGAGACCAATGCTCTACCAGATGATCTTGGGTGCATCTCACATTCCCACTCCCAGATTAGGGCTGCCATAAGTAGGAAATGACTTGAAGGCACGCAGCAACAACTACGTGATGGAAGCAAAATATCATAGGAGCAAAGATAACATTTTCGATCACTAACGTGATAGCTTAAATGAAACACAGCAGTACAGTATTTTTAATTGATGATATGGTACAGTGGGTTAAACCGCTGAGCTGCTAAACTTGTTGCCTGAAACGTCACAGGTTCGAATCTGGGGAGTAGCATGAGCTTCCGCTGTCAGCCCCAGCTTCTGCCAACCTAGCAGTTTGAAAACATGCAAATGTGAATAGATCGATAGGTACCACTCTGACAGAAAGGTAACGGCACTCCACGCAGTCATGCTGGCCACATGACCTTGGAGGTATGTACTGACAATGCCGGTTCTTCGGCTTAGAAATGGAGATGAGCACCAACTCCCAGAGTAAGACACAACAGGACTTAATGTCAGGGGAAAACCTTTACCTTTACCTATGCTAACAAAAGTATGAAGATGCATTCTCAAGACAAAGGAAAAGGTGATGCAAATCTTGTACAAACAGAGTCCCTCATAATCTGTACTCTAGGCTCCCTTTTTGTAACTTTGATCCCACTCTCAGCTTACACAACATGCTTTCAGTGGAAGGTTGAAGCACCAAAACATTTCAGAAAGCACTACCTTCTTTGTCTTCATTCTAGTTGCCCTTCCACACAGCCATATAACCCAGAATATCAAGGCAGAAAATCCCACAATATCTGCTTTGAACTGGGTTATCTGAGTCCACACTGCTATATATTCCAGTTGAAAGCAGATGTGGGCTTTTATTCAGCTGTGTGGAACTGTGTTTCTTTCACTGTGTTTCTTTCACATTCAGCCCATGTCAACAACTCCATGTTCACTCAAGTGTAAACATGGGTGCAGTGAAATAGCCATTTACAAAGAATCTCAAATGTCTTTCTATTTGCAGGAGGGGAAGCCAAAAATGAGCACACCATAAAATCCACTCATTAAGTAGTTTGACTTTGAGACATAAAATGCCGATGCGCTGGTTTAAAATATTTCTGGAAAGCTTCTTTGTATATTAATCTCTCTGCCCTACATCAAATTCAGCACCAAGACTTTCAGATAAGGACCAGTATCTATTTCTGTGGCCCTTGGCCTACTTTCATGCAAGTTGAGTAGCCAGACAGGTAAATCAGAAAACAAGCAAAAATAGATGGCACTGTGGAAGAAAGGTGGGTAATGGCCAATTAAACCAATGATTTTGAACTTTTGGCAAAGAGATGGGAAGAGGAGCCAAAATTGATGGTCATACAGAAGAAAGGGGGGGGGCTTCCAAATGTTTAGATCTCTGAGCAATCTGTTGCATACTTTGGGGTAGAATTATTATCAAAACCCAGGACATCAAGGCAAACTCCAAAACCCCTCCCATAAAATGGAAAAAGATTATCCTCCCATAAAATGGAAAGATCTCAATAGACAAGTCCAAAGCAAGCTTTCACTCAGAAATCTAATTTGAGCTAATCTTCACTAATGACTCTTCCAAGGTGAACTGAACCACCTAAACGGTGCTATACAGGCCAATGGATTCTCCACCACAGGCATTAGAAGAGCTGCAAGACCAAGAACAAGCCTCGGGAGTAAAGACAATTACCTACCCAGAGGGAAAGTGTTCTTACCATACATCAAGGGAACCACTGACCACAGAGAGAAGCTGATGAAGAAACACAACCTACAAACTATTTACAGACCCACCAAGAAAATCCAACAGGTGCTACATTTAGCAAAGGACAAGAGGGAACCTCTCACCCCTGCAGGAGTCTACCGTATACCATGCAGCTGTGGACAAGTCTACATAAGGAACACCAAATGAGGTGCTCAAACACGAATCAAGGAACATGAAAGGCACTGCAGACTGATTCAACCAGAGAAGTCAGCCATAGCAGAGCACCTGATAAGCCATCCTTGACACAGCATACTATTTCAGAACACAGAAATGCTGGACCACTCTAACAACCACCATGTCAGACTACACAGAGAAGCCATTGAAATCCACAAACATGTGGACAATTTCAACAAAATAGAAGAAACCAGGAAAATGAACAAAATCTGGGTACCTGTAATAAAAAGATCTAAAATCAGGACAGTAAATGAAGACCAACATTCTGAAAATGGGAATTTCAAACAGGAAACAGTCAAGGCCAGCTAACTCCCAACAAAGGATTCTCCCAGGCAGGAAACAGTCAGACTTTGAAGCTGCAATGTGATTCAATGCTAACCAAGGTGACCAATTGCAACATTCACACTTGCCTCAAAGAGACAAGTGTTCCTTCTACCATCCTGGACATTATTACACAAATATATAAACCTCAATTGCCTAGTTTCCAACAAACTTCACAATCTCTGAAGATGCTTGCCATAGATGTGAGCGAAACATCAGGAGAGACTGCTAATCAAGGTGGTCAGTTGAAACATTCATACCTAACTCCAGCAGACAAGAGTCCTTTGTCCCACCCTGGTCTTTCCACAGATATATAAACCCATTTTCCTAGTTCCAATAGACCTCACTACCTCTGAAGATGCTTGCCATAGATGCAGGCAAAACATCAGGAGAGAATGCCTCTAGAACATGGCCATATAGCCTGAAAAAACCTACAACCACCCAGTGATTCCGGCCATGAAAGCCTTCGACAATACATCAGGAGAGACTGCTTCTGGAATACGCCCCTACAGCCTGGAAAGCTCACAGCAACCCAGTGATTCCGGCCATGAAAGCCTTCAATAATACATTGACTCTTAGGATGTTTCACGCTCACTCACTAGGGGAACACAGAAAAACCCCATCACCCTTTCAGGCAGTAGGCATAATGTCTAAAAATCCCTCCACACACCTAACGACTGAGCCAAACCAAAGATCACAGAAGTTGCCCAACGCCCTATTTTGTCCTCCTCCTGGGAACCCATTCAGGATGGCAGACACTCTGGGTTCTGAACCCATTATTCTTGTGGTTGATTAAATCACTCGATAAGAAGAGAAAAGGAAAGTGGGACAAGAAGAAAGGGTAGGAGAAAAGACTCAGCAAGAGAAGAAAGCATTAGCGAGTTTGATTCTGATTCTGTCAAGTATCTGCTGCTTGATACTGTTAATTCCAGGTGCCAGGCATCACCCCTTTTCCATGTTGTTCTACCCGTGAGGAATGGCTCTTTCCCATCCTTTTCTTGAGATATGGTTATACTAGAAATATAAATCATTCATAGAGCTACCAAAATGTGCCGGCGGGACCTATATTGCTGACTAATGATCACCATTTCCCTATCA